GCTCAGGTGGCTTAGTATGGCAGGCTAATGGGGGAAGGCGGAGGCGGCTGCTGCACCTGCTAATGCTTTGGCTCAGGCTGGTGGCACAGAGGCTGCCGCGAATTCCCCCTGAGCAGCAAGCTGTTCGTGGCAGGAATGCCTCGCTCCGAGGAGCGCTCCTGCTACGACAACAAAGAGCTCTTTGATCCTTTCCATTTGGAGAACTTAAAATGAGAAAGCCAAACTACAATAAGACCAAGTTGGGTCATAAAAAAGAGAGCAGGAGCACCAAAGCACTCTGGAGTGTAATTGTAGAAGTAGCAAATGCTTTGGCACTTAATTCTGCTTTAGTGTCAGTTCAACATGTTTCACGTTTAAGACTGGAGAGCCTGTCGCCAAATGCTCTGCACAAACAATCTGAGGCTGCTCCCTGGTAAGCTCAGGGTGCTGGCTCCAGTGTGGCTCCTTTGGCTGTGCTTCTGTTGCACATGGGGTGTGGTTGGTCCATGGTGTAGAAAGACTGAGATACCCTTTACTGGAGGGTGAGCCTTGGGTGACTGCTGGTGTTCTAACCCTGCTCAATAAAAAGACTGGGACTACTCAAGTCTGCTGCCTTGGCACTGGGCAGTGGCTCACTGCCACTGGGGCTGCTCCCCAGCTGTTATTCCAGAGATGGAAGCCAGCACTTCGTGCTGCTCAGGCTGTGCTTTTCTTGCCTCTGCGCAGACCTGGGCGATGTCCCAGACGTGTCTGTGGAAGGTGACATTTAGATCAGGCATTTTATAAGTAATTTATCAGAAATTTTGCTAATAGATACCACATCTTCCCATGAGTGGTAGAGGTGTGTTTAAACTAAATATGCTCCGAATTATTTATCTGCAAAGAACTGATCTGCAAGGTGTCAGCTCTGTGGAGGTGTGGCGTCATCATGTGGCCAGGCAGCAGCCTCTGGGGGCAAAATTGGCAGTTTGGTGATGGCTCGTCACAGGTGCCAGGAGGTGCTGACCTGCAAAGAGCCCATGCCCTTCACAGGAGCATGGGCTCCTGTGCCTCTGCTCTGTGTCTGCTCTGAGCAGGGAGCCAGGGCTGCGAAGCTCTTGTGCCTGCCCTGCGAGGATGTGGGCATGTGGGGCTGGCTGTGGGTCCTCTTCCATCTTATGGCCAGGCCACTGGGCCAGATGGCTCCTGTGCAGCTCTGAGGCTTTCAAGAACTTCTTTATTGTAAAGAATAGGTTCAAAACATAAAGCTCCATGTTTTGAAGGGCGAATGCTCTGCAAGGTGCATCCTTGCCAGCACGATATGTATGAAATGCATCTTGGCAGCAGCTCCTGGCTGACGTCGGTGATGGAGGATGCAGCCCTGGATCATTTGCACTGGGAGCTGCTGGGGAAGGGTGAGCCTGTGGCTGGAGCAAGGAGTGATGCTTGGCCAAAGCTGTCTCTCTTTTCTCTTCCACCCCCTTCTCTTTGGAGGAGTGAGGAGATGGCTGACAGACCCAAGCAGTGATTTGCTATGGCTTAAATAGGCACATGATTAAATTTTAAGTGATGGACACCTGATGATTAAGAAGTATTGAAAACCCTTATAAATCGATTTTTCCCCTAACAGATTGCTGTGGGTCCAGCTCTTTGTGGTGGAGGCAACATGTGCGAATGATTTATTCTATTGGGGATTATAACAGATGCTCTAAAATTATCTTTTAAGTGTTTGAAAATCATTTGTCTGGCGTGTCTTAGCACATACAGGAATGCTCTGTTTGGGGAAGTGAGGCCCTTATCCTGATTTATCTCAAGGTGCTTGTAAATGTTACTGCAATTTCATGTTATCAAATCATTTAGCTCTTCCTCTTCCAGAATGAAGTTATTTTATCTCATGCACCTTGTTTACTTCAAATTATCCCTGAGGTTGGCCTGAAGTTGCACCTCGTTATTCCTCCACCTCCTGTCTGCATCTTAGGCTCTGTCAGCAAATTTGAAGGTATAAGTAAATACTTTTTTGTTATCAGTAGAATAAGTTTCCCCTTCTATATATGTTTTCTTTTCATTCCAGTCTTCGTTTTCCATGAGAAACTGACATTGCAGTACAAGCAGGAACCTCCCAAATTGCATGAAAAAACCTTAATTCTCCTAGCAACAAGGTCAGGGCTCAAGTCCAGTCCCTTTCCATGAGCATGGGGGTACAGCCCTTCCAATTACCTGCTCCCTCTGTGGTATGGATCCGGTCGGTTCACCAGCACCTGGGTTTGGGTGGATTTGAATCTCAGCCACGTTATTGTTTAAAAATTCTCCACTCATTGGGGAAGGGTTTGCAGTGGGCTGAGCCCTGAGAAACCTGGGGCTGGTTTTATGGCTTCCCATTGAAACCTGTGGAACCCTGTGGTGTCGACTGATTTCCCCCTTTCCCACTCATGTGGCTTTGATCAAACCCAGGACTTGGAGAATGACCCCCCCTCCTCCAGGAACTGGAACCACTGAGCTTTGCCCAGTTCTGCTGTTCGTTAAAGTGTTTGTGAGCTTCCAGTTGTGGATGGTAAAATGAGGACCTTTGTGCCTGTCTGGGATGGAGACTGCTGGTCCTATGGCAGAGCCCCTGTACAGGCCCTGCATTAGCATATTTGTTGCAAAAGCTGCCAGAATTTCCTTTACCCTCTTAATGAAACCTACCCTGGTAATGAAACCCTTTAGGCAGGATGTGCATTACTGGCTTTAGGGCAAACATCAGATATTGTTGCACGGATGGAATTGAAGCTCTGCTAAAGGCATTAAGTCATGGAGGAATGGCTCGTCCTGGGGGCCGCTGATGACCAGCCATCCTCTGTTGCTGCCTGTGTGACTCCAGCCTGGGTCATCGTGCTCAATGGTTCCCATCATGCAGCTCTGTTTGTAGCTTATGCACAGTTTTTTGGGGATCGGGGGTACAGGGAAGCCTGAGCAGCATGGCAACATGGTTTCCCTCCTGTCTCGTGATCCCCTGCCCTTCCCACAAACTGCACCAAACTCCACTGTGATTGTGCAGGACTCTTTAGGAAGGCTTCTCTGGAAGAGCAGGCTGACCTGTCCTTGGGAAAGGGATGCAGGGCTCAGCTATGTGCCCAGAGGAACCCCTGATCAGAGCCTGAGACCAACCATCGCTCAGGGACTGAGCTGGTCATGCTGCTGTGGCTTTTCTGTGTGCCCTGGGGCATGACAATTGAAATGGCTGAAGACTGAGAGGGTCTGATACTATTTGGGTGGAGAGAGTTTAATAGTAGCATATGTATGCCTGTAGTACTGAAAAACTCATTTGATTTGGACAATACTCTTGGACACAGGGTGTAACTCTTGGGGATGGACCTGTGCAGGGCCAGGAGTTGGACTGGATGATCCTTGTGGGTCCCTTCCAACTCAGCATGTTCTGTGATTCTGTGACCAGTGGGGAACTGTCTTGGGCTAATATTATGATGGAAATCCTCCTTTGGCTTTGCTGAGCATTAGATAAGTCCTGTATGATGGTCCATATCACAGTTACGCTGTATCTACTCCTTGATGTCTTTTCATGTATAAACCAAAGTACTGGTGCACATGACAACATGTGAAATTCTAGCTGCAGCACGAGTAACTCAGCAGTTAAAGGGCAAAATATGTTTTCTGACAGAAGGTTATGGGTGAGAAGAATTTCCTCTGTGCTGAAGGACTTGAAGATGCTGTTGTGTGATGCTGTGATTCCCTCCAGTGCTGCGTACACTGTGTAAGTGAGAGTTCCAAATGCAGAGATCCATTCTGCTGCATTCAAAGCCCAGTTCTAGGTCTATTAGTGTTGATTTTCAAGCTGAACTGAGCCCAGTTTGCCAAAATCTCTAATCAGTGGCTCCATGGGGAAAGGAGTCCCAGCTGTAGGGCGGTCGGGGAGCAGCAGTGATGCTCAGAAGCTCAGTGCTAATCCTGTCTCCCTCTGCGAGGAAGAAAGTGCTTTAGGGATGTGGCTTCCTAAGCCCTCTCCTGGAGCTTTGGGTGGCAGTTTTCAGTCTGAGATTGAAACGTTGGGAAAGAGGAGGGACCGTGTCCCATGTGCAACAAGAAATGAAACCCTCTTCCGAACAGAAACCTGCCCTGTGACACAAGAGGTGTAAATCAGGTACTGACATGACCCACTCTCTGGCAGTGGAGCTGGGGTGGGTCTGGTGGCTGAGAATGCTGCTGCCATGCGGTCCTGCAGCCACAGGCACATTAGGATGCCAGTGGGATGCCATCTCATCTAGGAACTGTTCCAGTGTGGGAACAGCCCATTCCCCTGCTGGTGTCGCTCTGGGTTGTGAGTCAAGCCTAGGGTGTGCAGAGTCTCCAAAATAACCACTGACTTCAGGGCTATCCAGGGTCCTGAGAGCTGGAGTGGGGTCGGGAACCTCAATGCCTCTATCACCCCTCTGACTCACCCCTGGAGCACGATGGGTGGTCCATCTGCCTGGTGTCACCCTGGGATGTGGTGGGAGAGAGCTTCCAAGGTGCTGTGAAGGCTTAAACTAAAGCTTGTAATGATCTTACTGGAATCTGGGTAGTTATGGGTGCAAGCCCATGAGGCATTTCCAAAAACATACCAGAAGTAAGTGGTAGAAAGGGAAACACTGTTGTTGGGGCCATAGGACATTCTGGGGTTTGTTTTTTGCTGATTGTTTTTTGCTGATGCTCTCTGACATGAGTTCAATTCATCCTCTTTACCTAATGAGAAAAAGCAAAGCTACATGTCTTGCTTTCCTTGCAGGTGAAGGAGCTGGACTGGATAAACTTAATTGTTGTCTTTGAAAAATCTTTCTCTCCTTGCATAAGAGTATTTAAAAAAAAAGAAATGATGACCTCATGCTTTCGTGCTTCAAAAAAAAAAAAAAATCTATTTTGGGTGATGCTTGTAACAGCTCCTATTAATGATGTTTGAACCAAAAAAAGAGGTCCAGATGTGATGATTTTATTATCCCAAATTGGGTTTTGGTCACTGAGCTTGCATTTGGATAATTAATTTTTTCTTTTCTCTTTTTTTCCTTTTCCAGCCTGATGGCACCAGTAAGGAGTGTGTTTTCATTGAAAAAGTCCTAGAAAACAACTACACGGCGCTGATGTCTGCAAAATATTCAGGCTGGTATGTTGGATTCACCAAAAAAGGGAGGCCGCGGAAAGGGCCCAAAACCCGGGAAAACCAGCAAGATGTACATTTTATGAAGAGGTACCCAAAGGGGCAAGTGGAGATACAGAAACCTTTCAAGTACACAACAGTCACCAAGAGGACTAAGAGAATACGACCCACCAACCCCAGTTAAAAATAGATTAAAAACAGTGTCACAATAAGAAACCACAAAAAGAAAAAAAAAACTGCACCAGAGGAATATTTTTACATTAAAAATAAGGAAGAAGCTCTATTTTTGTACATTGTGTTTAAAAAAAATAAAAATAAAAAAAATTAATAAAAGACTAGATGACAAATGCTGGGGAAAGCTGTCCGGGATTTATTGTGACTTGAAAAACGAAATGAACTGCTCTATTTAAATTGACTTCTTGTTGTTGATGACACACAGGTGCTTATTTCGCTCTTTGGAAAGGACAACTTTTCAAGCATGTCCCCAGAGGGAAAAAAAAAGTAATTATTAAAAATAAATAAATAAAACCAAAGAAAACCAAAGTTCTTTCCCAAAGTTACTGAGACCCTGCCCCAAAAAGTGCCAGTTTTGCAGTAATCTATTTATTGTCTGCTGCCCGCTGGCCCAAGACAAGATGGTGTGTGCTGCAGTGAGTGAGTTTCTGTGGAGTTCTCGACGCATGGATCTTCTGTAACCTTCCTGACGACATAAGGTGTCACGGCTCCGTGATCCTGCATTATGCTCAGTTCTGGAGAATGCTGCTAAATACATTCAAGTGACTACAAGATGACCTAGTACACCAATGATAAGGGAATATTTTAAAACCAGCTATATTATATATATTATATATATATAAGCTATTTATTTCACCTCTCTGTATATTGCAGTTCCATGAACCAAGTATTACTGCCTCAACAATTAAAAAGAATTATTTAAAACAGATGTACATACTTTTGCTGTTCACACTTCTTTCCCCTCCCTGAGTAGTGGTTGGTTTAATGTGTATTTATCTTTTATGTGAGGGCAGCAGGATATGTTCAGGGTAGTTTCCTTGCTATAAACTCCATTGCTAATTCCGTACATCCTCCTGTTACTTAATACCATCTTCCTCGCTGGTTGTTCTCACAAGGAAGAGGTCTTGCATGGGGTGAAGGTGGGCTGAGCATGGCGGGTTCCTCACTGGAGTGTTTAAAGAGCAGGACTTACATTTGGCACTTTTCGGTCCAACCAGTATTTCCTAATGTTTGGCCAAGCAGAAGGTGAACTGGAAAATGAGCGTCTGACTCCATTAACACGTCCTTATGTACGGCTCGTTTCCTTCATTACGGATTTTAGAGGGGCTGTTGGTTTCAGCTGTTGAATTCAATATTGTACCTTTTAAAACTTGCCCTCAACTGGACAAATCCTTTTCCCTGGTTCTCCCCGCCCATCAAGTGACTTGCTTCCCTGGTCAGCCCAGCCAGGTTTTCTCCTGGGAGTTCTGCATAGGATATGGATGATGTAAAGTGACCCATAAACAGAAAGTGGGGGAAAAAAGCAAGCTTAAATAAAGGACCTCAGATTTTAGCTGAAATGACGACTGGGCCCAAGTGAAGTTTTAAGGAGGAGCTCACTTGGCTTTTCCCTTCTCTCTGTGTGCAGACATTGCTGCACTCCCTGGCTGCAGCCAGGGCTGGAAATGCTCAAAGCCACTAAGAAAGCTTTTTCTTGTTAATCACAAGAATGACTCTCCCCAGAACAAGCTTTCTCAAGATAACTTTGAGAGCTGCAGCCAAATCCTGCAGATCAAAGCTGTTTGGGAGATGCTGCAGATAAACGTGCAAGCTTGAGGATGCTTATCTGAACCAATCTCCAAACCTTGCAAGCCTAGAATAAAATGAACAGTGCTGAGCAGACTCACTCCATGCTGCTCCAGGAGAAGCTGGGCAGCTGTACAGCTGATAGACTCATTCCCACTAAGCACAGGAGGTCACTCGAGCAGCCCCTCTCCCCGTGGATGTGCTGGGAGCTGCTCTCCTGATGCACCTGGAGACAAGCACAGAAATGGGACCGAATGGCATGGTGGTGGAAGTGGTTGGTGGGGGCTGGAAGGCTTTGCCAACTTTGTCTTTGGATTGATTCATGTGGGAAAGGTTTGGGGAAAGTTCAGAGAAGTGCTGGGGTGGAGGACTGGGAGTGGCTGTAGATTTGCTATGTTAGTACCTCCAAGAAGAGAAACCCAGTTGATTTCCAGAGTGAGAAAGGATTTATGAGTGCTTTTTTTATCCACCCCTCATGATTTCACTGTCAGAGTGACAGGGTTGGTTTGCTATCGGGGAAATTTGAAGGGGTGGAGGCAGTAAATGCTGGAGAAGTCTGGGTAGAAGGGATCTCCTCTGAGTCTGAGAGCAACCAGGGAGGATCTGCTCCCCATCCCACGGTGCCCGCTGGGTTTGGAGGTTGTCACGTGGGATTGAGGGGGCACTCAACTGGCAGTTGGGGCCTCTGGCACTTGTGTCATTGTTTGACGAATGTTTCCCGGACAGCAGTGAGACAGGTTCTTCAGGCTGTGAAAAGGCAGTGTGGTGAGGAGATGTGATGCTCCCCCGGATTAGGTGCTGTCAGTGGGATTTGTTGGCTGAGAATGGTGCTCATTAAGTATTTGTGTTGAACATCTGCTCTTCAGGCTTTATTAACAACAGAAGCAGGGCAAAGATGAGAAGAATTCATGTCAGGTTCCCTTCAGAGGACCTTGACATTGGACAAAAGGGTGCTCTGGGGAGAAGACGTTCAAGAAATGAACAGAAACAGGGGAAATCAACCCTGTGCCCAGCAATGAACAGCCTTGTGCTTGTGGCCACTAGGCACGTGGTGTTCCTGCACCTGGGTGTTGCTCAGTGCTTAGGCCAGGGGTTGTAAGTGGTTGTCAACAGACCACTGGACAGGTCTCTCTGCTGACCTCCAGACTAGAGAAGCGTGTCTGTGTTGTTTAACCCCGTTTTTTCCTTCCAGAAGGTCTTCGGTAGCCCTGAATATGAGCTGAGATTTCCCATGCAGACTATGACATTTGATTTACTTTATAATTGAAAATTGTTAATAAGGATTTAATTACTATCGTGAAAATAGCCTCAAGAGCAAGGGGCATAATACTAGGTGATCGCTTGAAGCAACTGATGGCATTAATGTGTGTGGAGGTCTGAGTGAGCACATTTTAACAGGTACACTAATTAATTAGTTGGCCAACCAGAGCTCAAATCAGTCCAACAGTTTAATTACCTTGGTAGCCTCATCTCCTCAGATGGTAAGATCGACAGAGAGATAGACAACAGGTTAGCTAAGGCATATAATGCTTTTGGAAAACTCCACAAAAGAGTATGGCGTAATAAACACTTGAAGAAAACCACCAAGATCAGTGTTTACAGAGCCATAGTGCTGTCTACTCTCTTATACGGTTCCGAATCCTGGGTCATCTACCACCACCACCTGCGTCTCCTAGAACACTTCCATCAACGCTGCCTCCGTACAATCCTTAACATCCGCTGGTCAGATTATGTGACCAATACATCTGTACTAGAGCAAGCTGCTGTCACAAGTATTGAGGCCATGTTGCTGAGAACGCAGCTGTGCTGGGCAGGGCACGTCTCCAGGATGAAGGACCAACCACCACCTCCCTAAGATCTTGCTCTATGGTGAACTTGCCACTGGCTGCCGCAAGAGAGGAGCCCCGAAGAGAAGATACAAGGACTCCCTGAAACAACATCTCAGCCTTGGCCATATTGATCACCAGAACTGGTCTACTCTGGCCTCCAATCGGGAGGCCTGGAGACACA